ACAGAGGGGCTAAGTTTCCTCCTTGGCCCCAACCCCCTCAGAAAGGCACAAATATGTGAGGTTTGGGCTTGGGGGTCTCCTGTCCTGGAACCAGTCTGCTGCTCCGAAGGCCAGGCCCCTCTGTGAACAGAAGAGGGACCCCTTCCTCACACCCTCACAGAGGGGCTAAGTTTCCTCCTTGGCCCCAACCCCCTCAGAAAGGCACAAATATGTGAGGCTTGGGCTTGGGGGTCTCCTGTCCTGGAACCAGTCTGCTGCTCCAAAGGCCAGGCCCCTCTGTGAACAGAAGAGGGACCCCTTCCTCACACCCTGACTTGAAGGTGTGGGTTAGGCAAACCGAGGCCACTGGGAAGTATGTGATTCTGGCCAAGGTTGAGTCTTCACTGAGTCCATGCCATCAGCCTCCTGAGGAAAACCAGTTTCTCCAACTAGAACATGGTGTCCAGATGACCCAAGAGATGGTGCACCTGGGTCAGTCCTGTTCCCCTGAATGGTATCACTGCCACCCCATCCTTGTCCTGGAGGCCAGTACAAGCTCAGATTTGAGAGACTTGGGTGAGCTAAGGGTGGCAGAAAGGAGAATAGGGCTGGAGCATTCCAGATGCTCACCACTGCGTTCACAAACTTGGGACAACTGTGCCTCTGGCCCTTCCCCTCGGCAAGAGGGACTAGTCCTGCAGTCAAATGTGGGGTAGTGGGAATAGAGGCATTTACATCAGAAGTGGCTTCTGCCTTTCATCCTCGGGGACAACAAGCAAATAATCTAACTGGCCTCAGCCACAAATAGCTGTCCTTCTTCCCCAATTAAGCAGGACTGAGTTTGCTCTGTCATTTTGAGAAGGGAAGAAGAGGGGTTGTTGAGAAACCATAAAGGCCCAGATGCGTTAGCCACCACCTAGAACAGGACAAACTAGAAGTGAAAAAGCTTGAAATATTAACTTTTTCCTTCTTAAAAAAGACCTAACATTGTAATGGTTTAACAAAAGTATTATAATTTTCTTTTAAATAACCCACAGACACCCATGACACTTCCAAATTTACAGAACAAAAAGCACTGGGAGAACTTGGTAGAAAATGAATTGCAGCTGCTTCCTTCTGGGAGCTGGCCCCGAGGGCTGGCTCAGTTCACCTCCAGGACCTCGGTCTCCGGGAGGCCGAACTTGGTCTTGTGTTTGTCGAAGAGCTTTACCAGGGCCTCCATGTACATAGCATGGTACAGGTCGATGTCCTGCTGGGTCGGGTGCTCCAGCTTGGGGATGGTGATGGGCTCGCCCACTGCAGGGATGGAGCAGAGGCCTCTGGTTAGTCGATGTCATTCCCCCAACCCCGGGCATCCACCGTGATGCGGATGGCAGCCACTCTGTGCTAGGAACTATGCTGAATGCTGCTTCATGTGCTTCATCTCAGGTTGTCTCTCCTTTTACAGATGAGAAGACTGAGGCCCAGGAGCATGGGAAGAGACACTCCCAAGGCCACACCCCACTAAGCAGCAGATGGGATCAAGACTGGCTGAACCCATTGCATTCTGCTCGGAGTTCCTGTGAGAGTTGTGAGAGCAGTAAAAGTTTTGCTTTTGCTATACTATGGGCCAGCCATTTTGCCTCTCTGAGCCTCAGTTTCCTCATTTGTCAAATGAGGATCCTTTCTCATATGGCTCTTCTGAGGATTCCATGAAGAACATGCTTTGAAAAGTGTGGTAAGGGCAGGAGAAGGGGGATGAGAACAACATTTGTACATCTATGCATTGTTTTATTTTCTTTTCCTGCTTCATGTCCATATCCAATCCATCCCTAAGTTCTGCTAATGATATTTCTGAGATTTCTCCCAAAATCGTGCATTTCTCTTCCATCTCCACTTCCACTCTCTTGGTCTAAGCCACTGGCTATCACAAAAGCCTAGTCTTGTAGCTCCCATTTATTTGTCCCTTCTAATCCATTTTCTATTCAGCAGGCCCAAAGATCACTTTATCGTGCTTTAAAATCTGAACTTCCCCTCCAAACACCCTCAAGTATGTTTCCATTCTCAAGGTGAAGAGCAGACTCCTTCACACCGCCCACAGGACCTGTCCATTCTGCAGCCATACCTGTGCATGGAAGTGTTCCTGCTGCCCTCACTGCTGCTTTGTCATTTTCCAAAAGTACAAAGCAAAACACCTGGCACTGATAACTCAGAGTATCTGTGCGTCAGAGTATCTTCAAGTCCACTGCTCAGGGCCTGCATGCTCCTATGTGATCTCTAGCCTGTGACCTATTAACACACACGCACACATGTGCATGCACACATGCGCACCCATACCTACAATATGTAGTTCTTTGGAATCCTCTACATTGTCCCAAATACACCAAAAACAACACAGCTTAGGACCAAATTCAGCCAGTTTTTTGCTACCCTTCTCACAGGTCTATGCTCTAGTCATATGGATTTTTTTTCTTTCTGTTCCTCAAAAATCTACACAATCTTCTTTCTGCAACTTCACATAGGCTATTGTTTCTGAAAAAAACCTCACTTCCCTCTTTTGCCGGATAATTCCTATTTAGCTAGCAGTGTAAGAATCACCTCTGTGGCGTCCACTATGACCCCCTACAGAATCTGCACACCACTGTCCGTCTTTGCTGTAATACAGTCTTCTCTGCTCTAGCAGGTGCTGCAAACCCAGAGACTGCAGGTCTTGTTTCCCCATCTGTCGTGGTGCTTGGCTCATGGAAGTGGATCTCTTCCCCCATCCACCTACTCCACTGGTCTCTCCCATCAGCACCTAACACATCGAAGTCCCCAAGGCTAAGAGCCAGGGAGCCTGCACTGGAATTCTGACTCTACGGCTGACTAGCTGTGTAGCACCCTGTGCTCAGAACAGCCCTTGGTCTGCGGGATGAAGGCTCACCAACAGTGGTGATGGGCTTGGAGTAGGGCAACAGCCCCCAGGTGTCAGAGGAGAAGAGGCCTCGGCCATGGAAGACACACGGAGCAAAGCCGATGTACTTCTGGAACTTCTTCTGGACCCATCGGCCCCAGGAGCCCTCCTGGAAGATCACCTGCTTGAATACTTCATTCTCCCCAAAGGAGTAAATAGGAACCAGGTCGGCTCTAGAAAGGAAAGTCCAGGGTCTGTTACAGCCCAATCACTGGCTTTAGTTCCTACTGGCCCTGTACACCAGCCAAGCTCCCACCTCTTCCCAGGGATGTACCACAATCACCTGGGGGTCCCCAGCTCCCATGTTCCCCACTACCAAATTCTGCCCATGTGTTAGTGACTGGCGGGCACCTTGGGGCTTTGGGCCCATCAGGCAAAGGGAAGGATGGGGGCCCTGCTCTGGAATGCCTGTTCTTCACCCTCATCCTTCAGTTCTCTGCTTGGAAGTTCTCCCTGTCCCACCCTCAGCCCAGGCCTCTCTCAGCCCTGGATTCACCCCCAGATCACAGCCTCAGCACACTGTGTTGTCACTCTATGTCTCTCTTCCCTCCCCTGCCATTGGTGCTCCCTGAAGGCAGGGACTGGGTCTGATTTGACTGTGTCCCTAGGGGCTGTCCCAGGTACCAGCCCTGCAAAGAGGCCTCTTCTCCCAAAGCCTGAGGTAAGGTCCTGAGGGGACAGAGAGGAAAGTGGATGTTCTCTGGCCCTACTCCAGGCTTCATGGGCCTCAATGGCATAGCATAGTGCCTTCCCTAACTCATGTATGACTGCAGGCCACCCCTCTCCCATGCTCACCTATGGCTCTGCTAGAGGACTGTCACCCCAGGACCTTCCTCCTGGGGTCATCCAAAGCCCAGATATGGGAGGACAGCAGGCGACCTTGAATCCAAACAGCTTGGCTCTGCATCTACTATGTGTCCCTGACTGGGTCACTGAGCCTCAGTTTTCTCCAATGAGAAATAGGGATGTCATTACCTGCTGTGTTGCTGAGGAATTAAAGAGGACTGTAGAAGTGGATGTGCTTTGTCAAATGGAATGTGATGAACAGGTGGCCACACAGACTGTGCCCTTTCCAGGACGGGTCACAGAAATATAAGCTGCCCAGCTCCTCTCTGCCTGTACTCATGCCACCCTCCTCCCTGGCCTCTTGCTCTCCTAGCAACATGACACATTTTGGCTCTAGGTGGTCAGTCTTTACACAGTCCCACATACAAGCCTGGCCTCTTAGCCTACCTGTAACAGCCCAGAGGCCACAGGTTACATCTTTGCCCCTCAGACATGCAGCCCACACCTGGGCGAACTTGGCCCAAACCATGCAGCCTGGGCTCCAATCTCCCCTCCCCTTTTGTGCCTTCCTAGGGTCTGGGTCTTGCCTCCAGAGGCCAAGGAGCCTGCTGCCCTGAGATGAGGAAAGCACTGGGTGTGCACGCGCGTGCATGCGTGTGTTTGTGCAGGGAGACACTTACCCATGGCGCAGAGCCAGTTTCACAAAGCCCTTGCGGTTCCGCAGGGTGACCACGTTCTTGCCAGGCATGGAGCTCAGGGACTCAGCCGCACCCCCGACTACAATGATGATGGCATTGCCACTCCCATTCTTTGAAAGCAAGTAGTCTATGGTGTCCCGGTTGACAGGGCAGATGCCTGAGGTGAAGAGAGATGTACAGTCAGGGTTGCTCACAGATGCACTGCCCACCCCCTGCACATGGTCAAGTGTAAAAGAGAAAGCCCTGGACTTGGCCTAACCCACCCACTTAGAAGTAGTATGGCCCTGCATAAGATATTCATTTTCTGGGAACTTTTCTCAACTTACTTATCTGTAAAATGGGGATAATGATGCAATGTTGGTTTGGGAATTCATTCATTTGGCAAACATTCCTTGCGGTCCTAACTCTACCAGGCTGGTACTAGGTGCTGGGTTCCCAACAAATCAGGCAGATGGGGGTCACAAGCGGTAGAAAATGACAGTGCCATGGACAATGATCAGGTTGTACAGAGGGAAACACAGGGCTGGAGTGCCCAGAAAAGGAGGTCAGAGGAGGCTTCCTAGGGAAGACGTTATCTAAGATGGATCCTGAGGACAGTATGGACAGCTCTCCTGCTCAACCCTGACCCACCATCTCTGCAGGAGATTGCATCTCCCAGCACAGGTCCAGCACCATGGAATGGTGTGTCAGTTCCCTGCATCACCCTGCTCAGTGGAGAGGCTCAGGCCTTCACAAGGGAGGCCAGCAGAGGTAGGCAGAGGTGGATTCTCACCTCCAGACATCAGGTACTCTCTTAGCACTGGCATCCGGAAGTTGCCAGCCAGTGTGGCCAGGTAGGGCCTTATGCCAGGAAACTTCTTGCTCACTTCTGTGGCCTCTGTGCTGAAGTTGCAGAAGGCACCCAGGCCCATGATGCCATGGGGGTGGTATCCAAAGATATAGTTCCTGGTGGTCAGCAGGTTGTGTGTCTTTACCAGCTGCAAGGAAAGCCTTGGGTCAGAGAAAACTGGCTGGGAAGTGGGTACTGGGACATGCCCAGAAGGTAGAGGAGGGATCCATGTGCCATAACCCCCGGGACTCTGTGGGCCCAAAGGACTGGACTGCCTCTCCAAACCTGACCTCAGATTCATCACTGGGGCCACAGTGCCAGTGCTTGGCAGTCACTATTTGGACTGCAAGTTCCCAGGAAGGAGGTGGGAACTTTTCTCTCTTATTCCTTAGGCAAACACACACCAGTGCAAATGCACTCTGTCAGCCTCCTGCTTTCTGTGCCTCTGTGCCCACCCTCCTCCCCAGAACTAGAGTGACTGTTCTAACACTCAAATCTAACCCTTGTCAGACTAAAGAGGGGTGTCCAGCTTCCATCAACTTAAAGTCCAAGTTCCTCAGGTGGGCAATCAAGGCCTTGGTTGCAAACTCTGCCCCAGCAAATGCACTCTGTCAGCCTCCTGCTTTCTGTGCCTCTGTGCCCACCCTCCTCCCCAGAACCAGAGTGACTGTTCTAACACTCAAATCTAACCCTTGTCAGACTAAAGAGGGGTGTCCAGCTTCCATCAACTTAAAGTCCAAGTTCCTTAGGTGGGCAATCAAGGCCTTGGTTGCAAACTCTGCCCCGCCATCAGTGTCCTCAGCCTGTGAGCTCCTCAGAGGTAGGGTCTATCTGGCCCCTGTGACCTGAAGCCTCCTCAGTGCCTCACAAAATGAACTGTGCAGCCCACCTCCTACTGGCCCGGAGAAGAGACAGTGCAGCTGGCCTGAACGGAAATTTCTTGCCAGGCAGCCAGGCTCAGCTCAGGTTCTGAGGCAAGAATGACGGGACAGGGCAAACGACCGCTGTTGTGCCAGCCAGCCCTGGGGGTGGAGTGGAGGAGGAGGAGGAGGTTAGCTGTATGCTGCTGCAGCTGATGATTTAATCTGTGGTCCTATCAACAAAGCTGTCCTGGGATGCTCCAAAGGATGATTGGCTTCTCAGGACCCACCCCCTGCCCTGAGGCTGGTGGCTTAGAGGGTGGGGTGGTACAAAGTTCCCCTGAATCCTGAGCAGTAAGAGGCACTGAGCATGAGACACCTACCTAGCATTACAAGGAAAAGGATGGGGGTGGAGGGTACTGAGAAGGATGGAGAGTAACAGCATGTTTATAAAGCATCCCTTTCTTTCTGATTAGAAAAATGATACTCATAGAGAATTTTTTAAATGTAGGAAAGTAAAAAAACAATAAAGAACACCTACAAAACCTTCATCCAGATAAACCATCCTGATAGAGTCCTTTTTCTACTCAAATATATATATGCTCTTTTTTTAAAAAAACATGAAATTGAGGTTATGTGGTTGATTTCCTTTTTATCTCATTTTCTACCAAATATATCCTAGTTATTTGTCTTTCTCAAAATTTCTTAATAACATGTCTTTTCACAGCTGCATTATTCTATCATACAGCCATGCTGCATGTAATAGCACTGACTCAAAACCCGACTGACGGACATTTTAAAAGCTTCCAAATTTCCCCCCTTAGAAATAATGCTTCAAAAAAAAAAAAGAAAGAAAGAAAGAAAGAAAAGAAATAATGTTTTAATAAATACCTTATCTTTATCCACATATCCGATTGTTTTCATGAGACAAACTTCTAGAAATATAATTTCTGTGTCAAAGGGTAGGAACATGTTGGTATTTCTGGCTGTCCTGCCTGGACAGAGGTGGCACCAATAACATTTCAACCTGAGCGCTTGAAAGTGCCCCTTCTTTGCACTGATGCCAGCTAGAAGCACAGTCACTGGACATCAGTAGTATATTGAGAGCCTGGGTTTTCATTACTCCAGATCTGGGAACCTCCTGACTAAGTGAAGTACCTTTTGCTCAGTTTTGGGAGAGGGGGTGCTGGTGGCTGGCCTCGGAAAACTGAAGTCCAAATCTTCAGGCGACAGGGGCCTGAGGGGGATAGAACAAGGTGGCTGGCACCATTCTTAGCTCTGTGACTGCCAGTATGTGTAAATTTGAGCAAGACTCTTGCAGTTTCACCCTATTGCCTGGAACATTTGTACTCTTTCTTCCACTTTGCCTTTGCAAGCAGAGTAAAGCTACTTGAAAACCCAACCAACTCTCAGCTGCTCACCACATAAATGCAGGACAGTAGCCACCTAATCCATGGCTAATGGGGGTGTGAGCAAGGGGATCTTAGAGGAGTCCAGTTCAGAAGAGCTTTGTAAGGTGGTTGTTCTGATGTTTTATCTAAAGAGTAGGTCTGCCCACCAAGTGAGCTCTGCATAAAAACGGAATTAAAGAGCACCTTGTGCCAGGTTCCACAGAAAAGAAAGGCACTGACGTAAGAGCCAAGGCAGCCAGTAGTGGGCTTGAAATTTGCTCCTGAGCTGATGGCCAGCCCTGGGCCTGTCCCCATAACCAGGAACCCAAAGCGCAGAATGGGCTGGCAGAACACTGAAGATCTAGGCCATTCCTTGGATGACGAGGTGGAGACCAAGGCCTAGACAAAGGAGTTGCAGCAAATCATCCTCCATGTCTAGACCAAGCTTCCTTGCTGTGCTTTTCCCTGGGCTCCTGGGATGGAGATGTGTCACTTGGTGGGAACCAGCTTGATCTTTAAAGTATTTCCTTGCTCCCCAGGGCTCTACTGATGGGACAGTTGGTTCAAAGAGGTGTTGTGCAGATTAGTAGACCTTGGGAGTACCCAGAAGAATGCAGGCATCTGACATAGCTTTGATCTGCCTTCATGTCACACTCCCCTCCTTTCAATGCTCAAGAGAATGTCCATTCTGGAAGGAGAAGGACACTGCTAATGAAGGCTCTGTTGACATACCTGCTCTCATGTCCCCCATTTCCCTAGATTCTAGTACTAATGCTGCCATGGACTTGCTGGGTCACCTGGACAATTCCTTGCCCCTTAGGTACTCAGTTTTCTCACCTCCAAAATGAGAGGATTGGGTCCTATGACAAAACAAAATCCCAGCAACAAGAGCCTTGAATTCTTTGTGGCCAGAGAGATGGGGTCAGGAAAAGGGAGGAGAGGGAATCCTGACTCCAAGGATCAGGAAGGTCCTGGGAAAACTGGGCTTAGGCTGGGGGTGGGCATAGGGAACTGGCACTGGGGCCACCCCCACAATACAGAATGCAGTGGAGGGATGTAGGGTTACCAGGCCACCTCCCTGAGGCAGCAGACCTGGATGCTTCAGTTGCTGACGCACAACAGCAAGCATATGCCATCCTGCGTCACACAGAGAACACTTGCACATTCACACACACTTCCTCCACTCCACAGCCCCGCTGCCTTCTGCTGGGTTACCTCAGCAGCCAGGGTGTGCTGGTGCTGGGGTGCTGAGTGAGCTGGCCTGGTGGGTCTTTCCCTTGGAGAAAACCTTGAGGATTCTGCCAGAGTAATCCACAATTCACCTACATCACCCACAGGAATCAGGGCCTAGATGGCTCTGCCTCACCAGCCCAGCCCGCAGACTAATTAGGGGGCCAGATGGAGCAGAGCCTAAAAACCAGACTGCACCACCATTTATCCTGTCAGGACCTCAGGGCTGGCCCCAGAGAAGATGGGTGCTTAGAATAGCACAGTGAGGGCCACAGGGCAACCAACAGTGCAGCAGGAAGGAGACCCAGAGACCAACTTGGTTTAAACTTGCTTCATATGGGGAGACTGTGTCCTGGAAGAGACAGCACCTTGCCTAGGTTATACTGGGCTTTGCTTGTCCCCCATCCTCCAGGCCTGTGGGGAGCCCGAGAATCCGCCCAAGCTTAATTCTCATGGCACTGCTGCACAAAGAGGCAGTACGCCCAGGCTTTGAGGCAGGCCAGCATTTGGAATCTCAGCTCAACCCCTTACTACACCGTTCACCTTTGCTACTCTCTGACCCTGTTTCCTCTTCTGTAAAAAGGGGATAACATTAATGTTTGCCTTACAGGGTGCTGTGGGGGTTAAAGGAGACTCCTTGGGAAAAGATACAGGCTCCAAGAAGGCTCCTAATAAATGGATATTCTCCCTCTCCTCACCACCTCCTCTATCCCAGGCTTCTTCTCAAACTCGGTTGCCTAAGTTCTGTTTTCCCTGCTTCTCAGTGTTATGTATATTTTAAGAAAGAGTTCTAGGTGTGCCTCCTCCAGAAGCCTTCCAAACCACTGCACTGCCACGGCTTCCTTATTTCACTGCACATCAACTTGTCTGGACCCTTATTCCCACAGCCATGACCCCCAGCAGCTGGCTGAGAGAAGTGACATTTCTGTAAGAACTTTGGAAAGAAAGAAAGCCTCTTACACATATTGCTTTAAGTTCTATCCCTAGTGCGGGCCAGACGAACTTGGACTACCTTAGTATTGCTCTTGATATATCACCTCTATTTTAAGTTATGCCCTTAATATTCACCAAAGGGCAGACAAACAATGGCCATAATATATGCTATTATACCTACTCCTTTCATCACTCAGGCTCTTAGTGTATGAAGTATCTTTTAGCTTCAAATGCCAGAACAAGTCTTGTCTCCCCAAAGAACTGATAAGCTTCTTCCTTTCCAAAATCAAGAAGCTAACAACTATCAGGGCCGGCCCATGGCTCACTTGGGAGAGTGTGGTACTGATAACACCAAGGCCACAGGCTCGGATCCTATATAGGGATGGCCGGTTCGCTCACTGGCTGAGTGTGGTGCCGACAACACCAAGCCAACGGTTAAGATCCCCTTACTGGTCATCTTTTTTTTTAAAAAGAAGCTAACAACTATCATATTTCCCTTTTTGCTTTGACTGCCAGGAAG